CCCCAAAACCCCAAAACCCCAAAACCCCAAAACCCCAAATTACATGAATAATATTGCAATTTGAATAATTTAAAAGATGGCAGAATTTGATCATAGAATCGAAAATAGTGGAACTTCTAAGCTTGTAGTAGAGCATGTCATGACTCTGATGGACACTGAAGATGAGATCTTTACTGTTAAATATGACCCTAAAGATAAGTATATAGCATGAGGCTGCGGAGATGGTGCAATCAGAGTTTATAACGTCTTCACAGGCAAAATGTCGTTCCTCCTTGCAGATACAGAGGATGAAGATGATTTCTTGTTTCCAATCACTTGTCTAAGATGGAGACCAGTCACTGCTGAGATGAAAGCCAAGAATGTTCTGGTTGCATGATCTGCTGACGGCTTATTATACCATTGGCATGTTACCTCAGGAAAATTATTGCATACTTTAGATCTTTCAGATCACGGAAGTCAATTTTTCTGCTTAGATTTCTCTCCAGACGGCAAAAATTTAGCTCTTGGAGCAAAAGACAAGACTATCAGAATAGTCGATGAACACACCAAAACTCTTGTAAGTACTCTCGAAGGTGGTACTGGAGTCTTAGGGCATTCGAACAGGGTGTTTTCAGTCAAATACATACCAGAAGATCCAAACCTAATAATTAGTGGTGGGTGGGATAATACAGTACTTCTTTGGGATCTCAGAACTTCTAAGGTTGTAAGCAGCTTCTACGGACCTCATATCTGTGGTGATTCGTTGGATATAAGAAATGGTAAAATCCTGGCTGGAAGTTACCATAATTCTGACAACTTATACTTAATTGACCTTGAAACTTTGGAATTAGATCAGAAAATCAACTGGTATGGAGATGGATTTAAGAAGAAAGATGGAAAATCTCCTTCATCTCTTTATTCTGCTTTGTATACTTCGGATGGAAGTCATATCATCGCTGGAGGAGCCAGCCCAAATGAAGTAAGAATCTTTAAAAATGAGGAAGATGGGCATAAAGTTGTCAGCAGTATTTCAGATCTAGAGAGTTGTCCTTTATCCATAGATGTAGCACACTCTAGCAATCAATTTGCTTTTGGAACTGCAGATGGATATCTTAGAATTATGAACTTAACGGAATCAGAAGACTAAATTTTGAAAAATTCATCATAATTCTTTCAATTTCTCTGGTAAGATACGGGGTTTTGGGGTTTTGGGGTTTTGGGGTTTTGGGGTTTTGGGG